TGTGTCTAATTATAGGCCTATTTCAAAACTTCCATTCCTTTCAAAGGTTCTGGAAAAAGTTGTGTATTTGCAATTGACGGGAGTTTTTGCATGCAAATGATATTTGTGAAAAATTCCAGTCAGGTTTTAAGAAGGCACATTGCACAGAGACTGACTGCACTGCTCAGGGTCTTAAACGACATTCTTTTAGGTACTGACTCTGGTGATTTAGTGGTTCTGGTACAGTTGGATTTGTCTGCTGCCTTTGACACCATGGATCACAGGCTCCTGATTTCATGGTTACAAGAGTCTGTTGGGATTAAAGGAGTTGCTTTGGACTGGTTTAAGTCCTATTTGGCTGAGAGATCGTTTTGTGTATCATTAGGTGGCTTCACGTCATCTCGCTCGCCTCTCGTATGCGGGGTTCCTCAAGGATCGGTGCTGGGCCCATTGTTGTTCTCTCTGTATTTGCTACCTCAGGGTTCTACTTTTACCAAACGTGGATGTTGTTTTCATCTATATGCAGACGACACTCAGGTTTATATTCCCATTAAACGTGGCCTACCCAATTCTTTAGATCCTCTTCTAAACTGCCTCGATGAGGTCAAAACCTGGATGTCTGCAAATTTTTTACATTTTAATAATGACAAGACTGAGGTCATGCTTTTTAGTCCTAGTGTGTCCAGTGGGCCATGTTCTGCTGCTTGGTCCACTAGCCCTATTTTTGAAACCTGTAGCGACCAGTCTGGGGGTCCGGCTTGACAGTGATCTGCTTCTGGAAAAGCAAATCAGTGCCATCACCAAAGCCAGTTTTCATCAGTTAAGGAGGATCGCCAAGGTTGTCTGCTCTCAAGACGGTGATTCACACGTTTATTACATCACGCCTTGACTATTGCAACGCACTGTACCTTAGTCTTCCTCAGTCTCACCTCTCCCGTCTTCAAATGGTGCAAAATGCAGCAGCACGCCTATTGACAGGTCCGAGAAAGAGGGAGCACAGTACCCCAATTTTAGCTTTGCTGCACTGGCTGCCTGTCGATTTTAGGGTCCAGTACAAGGTTCTTTTATTGGCTTTAAAAGCTGTACATGGCCTTGCTCCGCAGTATCTTTGTGAACTTTTAGTTGCTCACTCCCCATCTCGGTCACTGAGGTCAGCCGACCAGTTTCTCCTGGAGGTGCTGAGAACAAAAAGAAAGCTCAGGGGTGATAGAGCTTTCTCAGTAGCTGCTCCAAGGTTGTGGAATGCACTCCCAATTCAGATTAGGAAGGTTTCGTCACTGTCGGGTTTAAATCACTTTTAAAGACTCATCTCTTCTCAGTTGCTTTTTATTCAGTTTGAGAATGCATCTGTTTTTAGTAGCTTTTATGTCAGTTTGATATGTTTGTTTTTATCATGTTTTTACTTTGTGATGAACTTTTTATCTTATTTTTAGGGAACTTCTGTTATTTTTGGCTTGTTAAGCACCTTGGTCGGCTTTTATGTTGTTGTAAAGTGCTTTATAAATAAAGTTGACTTGACTTGAGGGAAAAACCTCAATAAACGTGGAGGAGACCAGCTGTCCAAGAAATAACACCCCAGGTACAAACACCCCAGGTTGTATACAGGTACAAACATGTACTGGGATCAATCTACCTACATTTTATTTTTTTAAGAACTTTGTTTTGTTTTCTTGGTTTTTATTTTCCTGTCTTCCTGTCCCGTCTGTCTCTGATCTTCCTGCATCTCCCAGTCCTCCAGAAAATCTCCTGCCTGCTTCCTTCATTTTCACCTCACAAGTAACTTTTTAACTAGCAGATAAAATTGATCTATTGACAACAAAAAAAAGCAGTGTGTGCGCTGCGCTGCCCAGCTGCGCCAGTGACGAGCGCTGCAGCGCGAGCGCATCCACATGTCATGCTCAAATACAGACAGAACTTACCAGAGAGAAAATGAACGGACACAAATGACTGTGTTAATTATGTTTTGGTGACGCCACTTAGAAACTTAGAAAATATTACTGTGGCCGTGTGCAGAACGCAGCTGGAGTTCATGAATAATCAGCGGTCTGCCGCTCTGCTCAAAAGAATCTCCGCTACTCTGAGTCCATATAAATAATATAATATAGGTAGAAACTGGATCTCTTGTGTGCTCCTTCTGGGTGTGTAAGTTAAGGGCATCAGGGGAGCCTGACAACCTTTAGGAGAACCAAGTTGCTCTATTTGAACCCAGTATCCGAGTCCGGATCGGGAAGTTAAGCCCGAGTCCCGATCGAATCTGAAACCACGTGATCGGAGCCAATTTCTGATCATGTGATCGGATCGGGACATCCCTAGTAGCCACAGCCGTCCTGGGGAAGCTCTGAGCAGAGAGATAGCAGCTCTTTCAGACACCATCAGAACCTCAGAGGAGCTGAGAGCTGAAGACGTCTTGTTCCTGATCAGCTGCAAAGCTGCAGTGGAAAGAGTCTAGCGCTGCCCCCTGCTGGCTGGTCCACAGCTGCCCTCAGAAGCTCTGATAGACCAGGCCAAACATCTGGGCAACCTGGCCTCCAACATCTGGAACAACATGAAGAACGTGGTATCCTAAAGTCCCATCGTTCTGGACCCAAACACAGCTCATCCAAGACTCATCGTGTCTGAAGATCTGAGCAGAGGTGAACTAGGAGATGAACAGCAGCTTCCTGATAACCCAGAGAGGTTGGACACCTGCTGCTTTGTACTGAGTTCTGAAGGTTTGAACTCCGGTAACCACAACTGGGACATTCATGTTGGAGACAGTGATGTTTGTAGACTTGGTGTGTGTGAAAGTTTCATTCAGAGGAAGGGAATCACTGAGTCTAGATTATGGGAAACACGGCTCAGTGAAGGTAAATGTTTATGGTCATCAGGAGCTCCGCTCACAGAACTTCCAGAAATGAAAAAGTTCCAGAAGATCAGAGTGAATCTGGACTGGAACAGAGGAAAGCTCACATTCTCTGATCCTGATACAAACACACACATTCACATCTTCACACACACCTTCACTGAGACACTTCATATTTTGACACAAAAAATTAAATTCAGGTATTACCAGTAAAGGCCTCTGTGTCTGCAGAAGATCAGTTAGAACAAAAATGACTATTTTTGTCCCTGATTAAAAGTCAAATTTAGTGTCTTAAACACTGAGTGAAGCCCAAATCAGAGCCATTCCACCTACTGCATGGGTTTCTGATCTTAAGGCCTTTTCCCACCTCTCAGTTCAGCTCTAAACATCTTGATTCACAAAAACAAGATCCTTACTTTTATCTTTAGGGGCATCCATGGGCTAGCACCAACCTACATCAGGCCACAAAAGCACCAGGTCCACTAGATCTGGTCAGCTGGACCTGGACCTGGACCAACTATAAAACAGGTTTGCTGCGACAGCCCTGAGGCTTTGGAACACGCTACCATCTGATCTGCGTAACACTACAGATTTTACTGCTTTTAAATCTCAGGGTTTCTGTGAGCTGCTAGCATTTCCTTTACATTGCACTTTAATTCAATGTTTTAAGGTCTTTTTTAAATATGCACATATGAGTCTGTGATTTCTTTTCCTGTTTTGTATTTGATCACCTGCGGCTGTGTATAGCGCTTTACAAACACTTTTTGCTTGATCGACTGATTGAAAATAAATATCCAACCCGAATATCAGACGGATGTGGAGTTTCCTGGCTTTATTCATTCTGTCAGTTTTCACGCCTCGCTAGCACCCACTGGGTTGAGAGTTGCAAGCAGAAAACTTGGCTGTAATTCCCCCCGAGCCTGAGAGAGCAGAAATGTCAGAGTCTTTAAGCCAGTTAGCTGCAGACAGCCAGCAGCCTGAGGAACATCTGGCTTGTGTCAGCATATCTGCAGCTGCATCGGCATCTATTAAATAGGAGCTGAAGGTTGTGACTGGACCCATCAGTAGCACTGAAGGGTCTGAGCAACACCCTGAGCAAGGCCCAGCAATTAGCCCTCCCCTCATCAAATCAAACTATTGCATTTCATTTAGCATTGTGAGAAACAACTACGACAAAAGAAGTTTACATCAGAGCCAGTCAGAGGTCAGCAGGACGAAATAGATTTTTGTGTATCGTAGAGCTAGGCGATAAAATGATAAAGATCTCTTTCCTTTAAAGATAAAAGTGAACATGTTGGTAAAAACCTTAAACATTCAGAACAAATCAACAGCCAATAACAGTGCCTGATGCTACACTTTGGGCCAATCACGTGGCTGGAATAGAGCCACACAGCCGACACACTAATGGCTAACAGCTGTTTCTGTCGCTGTAGCCTCTTACTCCTAACAGGCAGGACAGCGATGGAAAAATGACCACGGACACAGCCAATGGCTGTGTCTCAATTCAGGGTCTGCATCCTTCGAAGGACCCAGCCCACCCGGCCGACGTGGGCTGCGTCCTCCGTCGGCCGGGTAGACCGGATGTTAACGGCTGTGAATTTGGACAGGCCTAGCCTTCATGAACTCCCTCGGCGAACGCTCCGTCGCCTAGCAACCGTGGAACCGCTGGGCAGAAGGGAGAAGGAACTTTAAACGACGGAGCTCAACGTTTTATTTAGCTTTTTAACCCCCAGAGACCCAAATTTAGAAAACAACTGCAAAATCTTTTTTTTAACCTTTCACATGTTGTTCTAGGAGGCCAGATAAACGGGCCTATTTACACATTTTAACAGCCAATAGTGTTGCAGAACTGAACAATAGGACCTATTAGCAATGTAAATGTGGTTTTAAAAAGAAAAAAAATGGGGAAGGTTTATTTTTGTGGACTTAAATCTGATGTTGTAATATTACAACCGTGGGTGTCTGGGGGTTAATCATTTCCTTGACTGTTGGAGAGCTAATTCAGAGAAAATACTTTCGACAAGCTGAGCCCGAGCAAAGATGTGATAATAGTTTTTAATACTTTCTAAGGGTCTTAATTTGACCAAAACCGATTTATCACCTTTTAAGACTTTTCAAGACCCAGCGGATACCCTCTAGTAAACAATTCTCATTTGTAAACAAAAATAAAATTCAAGAGTTTAATGCAGAACTGATTTTATTTAGATATTTCTTTTATATGTACATGTTTAATCTTCCTTAACCATTTTTTTCTAGCAAAGTAAAAAGCTGTCAAAGTTCTTCCTTCTCTCTGTGCCCTCTGCTGCTCTGCCTCCCTCTGCAGCCTCATGTCCTCCCTGATCAGCTCCAGAAGCTGGTCATCGCTGGCACCTTCCCCTGGATGCCCATTTTCTCCAGAATAGTCTTAACAAACATGTAAGAAAAAAAAAACAGATAGAGAAAAGAGGACAACGGGTTATTCCTTTCATGTTTTCGCTGAAAAAATAAGCTCAAACGAGTTTTTTAAAATATGAGATGTTATTGTACCTCCATGCCACAGCCGCCGAATACTTTGCTCCGGTGATCATGTGGTCCATCTCCGCCCTAAGCTTAATAAATTCCCTGGTTTTCTCTTTTGTTCCTAAAATACAAACTTCTATTAAAATCAGGGGGAAAACGTAGCGGGAGAAGTACGACACCGAGCGGCCGAACATACGAGCCGAGACCGCAATACAAGCACTTTTACTGTAACATTTCTAACTAAAATAACATTCATGTATCACAAAAAGTCCTTAACCTAAGAGTTTTCAAGTTTATACTGACATTTATATGCGCAATCCTCTCCGACAGCTCCCGCTTCACTGTCCGCCATTGTTTTTAAGTTTTTCTGCCGGCCGGCCCGCAAGGCATCTTGGGAAATGCTACCTATTGAAGGATACACCCGACCCATCCTTCATTCAGGCGAAAAGAAGGCCGCATTCGTCGATCGCATTTGAAGGAGTCTTCGAATTGGGACAGGCCTAGTCGCGGCGCTGTGACGTAACCGGCCGACGAATCCGGCCGACGTAGGATGCAGACCCTGAATTGAGACACAGCCAATGTCATCGGTGACAACAAGGGACCAAAACTGTCAGTCTTGTGGACATAGTTCAGCTATTCAAAGTTGTATAAAAAGGATTAGCATCCACTACAAATGATGTTACGAGCTGGTCTCCAACAAAATCTGCGTGAACCACAGATCTATGGATCTAAACTGAGCAGTGGGAGTGTCCAATCTCCAGACTTGATATGTACAAATCTGTGGAACATTCATTTGAAATGCAAAACTTAAAGAAATAATCTTTGAGTTTTCCCGCCACCCCCAGTGAGACATGGCCCTGGGCCATATCAAACACTGCTGCTGGAAGAACAAGGACCCTGGTGACGGTTAAAATAAAACATTTCCTCCTGATGAAACTGGATGTGGATCAGATCTGCATCCGGTACCAAAGCTCAGACCCAGAACTGTTCCGCTGTTTAGTGATGTTGGTCACTCTGTCGTCAGCCCCTGGAAAAATCCATCTCTCTTTCTTCCGTGTGCGGTCCCATCCATCACCCACAGCTGGTGGGAGCTTCAGCCACGTCGTGTTTATGCAACTTTAAGAGCTTTTCTCTGCCCCGCCGCAGTGATGTATCACCCGAGAGGTAGAAATGGATGATGTGTGAACCAGGAGGAAGGGTGAATGGATGGAGGGGCAGCCAGCAGCGATGCTGGATTGGATGCACCTCACTGACAGAAACCGTCGATATTCATGTTAATAACAACAACAAAGAAATAGTGTCGGTCTGAGGTGGGGTTGGCTGAAGCTGCGCTTCTGTTGGAAGATTTAAAGGCTTTTCCAGAGAAAGTGAGCTGCTGGCAGATTTGATATTGGATGGAGAGAGAAATTGTGCCAATATTAATGTTCCAAACATGAGAGTGTGTGAGTAGCTTTAATGTTCTGAGTTTGGAAGGTGTTTTTTGTTATTAGTGGATGTTGTGAGAAATTGAAAGTGACCGATGCTCTTTGAGGTGGGACACATAAAGGAAAAATACGGAGTTGCAAATATAGCTGATTAAATTAAAAAGACAAATGAAAACCTAGAAATTTCACAGAACGCAGGAAAAGATTCAGCAAATGTTTAAATGATGAAACTTTAAGGCTTTTCTCTGTTATATTAATTTATATATAAATCCAATAACCAGAGGTGGAAAGTAACGAATTACATTTACTCACGTTACTGTAATTGAGTAGCTTTTTTGTAAATTTATACTTTTTAAGTCGTTTTTAAAATCTGTACTTTTACTTTTACTTGAGTAAGTTTTTAAAAAAAGAATTGTAATTCGCTACATTTTAAATCATATCCGTTACTGAGTAAAAATAAATTGTAGGCTTAATAAATTAAAAATATTACGTGTAGCAGCGTCGGAACAGAAAGAGACACCTGCATGAGCGCCACGTCTAAACCGGGGAGAGGGGGGCTACACGTTTTATGATGAGGACAAACAGCCATTTTTACCGCAGTTTTGCTCAAAAACATCAGTTCTGTGATCCACTCGCTGTTTACCTCCTCTCTCCCTCCTCTCCTGTGGGTTGGAACCCGCACCTTCGCGCACCGGTGTGACGTCATCAGAATTCTGCTCGGTTCGGCAACCAGACTCGGTTCCGTGTTTGAAATGTGTTTCCATACCGCGCATGGAAGCGGCAAAATTACGTTTAGCGCTCCTAAGAAGCCGATTATCAGCGCTCTGCTCATAAAACAGAAGACCTGCAGGCCTCTGTGAGTTAATCCTGATACTGTTCAGGTGTAAACATTGTGCTCCATCCCTGTGTTTGAACTCAGAAGATGCTTCTTGATGCCACAGATATGTGATGATTTAGCTTGTTTCTTTTTTTTTTACTCCAGAATAAGAGATTAAATTATTACAAAAGCAGTTCAGTGTAGTTAAAGTAGTCATTCAAATGATTCTAACATGCTGCTGCGTGTGTGTGTGTGTGTGTGTGTGTGTGTGTGTGTGTGCGTGCGTGCGTGCGTGTGTGTGTGTGGGACTGCGTAAGACAGCATGCTTCATCAAATCCATGCATCCTATATCTTGGCTGAAGTAACGGCTCAGGAAAATAACATATTTCATAAACAATGATGTCTCTGCAGTGTTTATGATAATGCTTTATCTTATATTGGACCTATCTTTGGTCTGGGAGGTGTAACATATCATGAAGCAAGCCTTTTAAAACATGTTAAAGTGTTACAAGAGGAGATAAATGCATGAATTTGAAGTTCATGTTTGGAGACCAACCTTCACAGATTGGAGGCTCACGCTGGTGAGGAGACACCATTAGTTCTAGTAACACCTGGGCTCCCAAGGCCTATTCTGACAGGATGGATGTTACGGGACCCTTAAGGATTCCAGTTGGATGATTGGAGGATTATTTAGGAGGATTGGGATGAACAAACTGGTTTCAGTGGTGAAGGGTTAAAGGTATTGGCTCAGCATTAAAATTATAGAAATGCAAAATAACTACACTTTATTATCTATATAAACATGTACTGGGTCCAGTTTTTTATTTTATTAAGGACTTTTGTCATAAATCATTACAGAAAATCCAAATCCTCTCCTCCAGACAGTGAAGAACTGTGTTTCGCATACGTCACTCCAGCACTTAAAACAAGCTAGCTGCTGATGCTAGTATTGTGAATCACTGTTATTTGTTTACTTTCATGCTCCTAATTATTACGTAAAATTGCGTTTACAGCTGCAGCAAAAGGTCTGAGCCATGTGTCCGTGTCCTACACGCATTTTTAAATAACAGGTCTGATCTAAAATAATAACCTACATCTATAAATCCATCTAGAACCACACCGCTACTTCTGGACTCTAGACGAGTCCCGTTAGCATGACTGCAGCAAAACCAACCGTGTTCGCTCCGGTAAGGAAGAACAAGTCCTTTGGGAAAGCTACGACACACGCACGCACGCACGCACACACACACACACACACACAGATATAATCTAAAAGATGATCTCTATATTTCAACATTAAAACCTCCATGACATCCTTGATTAGTGCAAACAACGAGTTGAGCTAAGGAGTTTCTCCAGCATCAGGAAGATTTATTCTGGTAAATTGTAGGTTCATTATTTTCCAGAGTTATGTCAATAAATACACACAGCAGTAAAACTGTAGATTACTGAACTATATTGGGACACATGATGGAGCTAAAACCAGCTGAAAACTTGTCAGCTTAGAGCTCCCAGTGGAGCACAGAAATGAAATATTTAAGAAAAGTAAACAAACTGTACCAATTTTGGTTCTGAAGATGAACAGAATCCTCATCTATGTCCAAATCAGGTCGCAGGTCTTCTGAGTCAAACGGTCTAAAACATGTCTGCACCTCTGGTAGTGATATCCAGCTGGCGGGGTCGGAGTTCGGTTGAACTTCTCCAGTAATCTAACATCCGTTCTCGTCGCCGTATCCCAGAGAAAAAACAAATCAGATGGACTAGTAGAGGCTTCAGAAGCTACATCTGATTGATGACACATTGTTCTCTGCTATAACGCTAACGCAGAAACAGCGGAGTCAGGCGTTGTTTACTACAGCTGTTTCAGCAGAGCTCCATGTGAAACGTCAACTGCTGCCCAGGGCTTAGACCGGAAGTTAGTTTCTGTTTTTCCTGCGCCGGTCACAAACATCAGATTTTCTTACAATTCCAGCTGTCAAAATCCAAAACCCTTTTTCATCTGAGATTTTAATACACATATACACATGCTGTTCAAACAAATTTTGCCTCTGGCCGATATCTTTAAATGAGTGAGTGAACCCACTACCAAAGATGAACTCTGCAAACTTTAAAAATCAGCTGCTCTAAATAAGCATTCAGGGAAAAGTCATGGGCTTGTGACTAACCTAATTTATGTTACTAGTTTGCAGTGTAACTGCCTTTGTACTTCAATATGCATATTTGTTCATTTAATTAAAAAAACGGCCACTTTGACATTTATACCCCATCGTCTTTTTTTTTTAACTATTCAGAAGAGCCCGTCCTTGCACAGTCAAAAAAGTAACTTAGTAACTTTTACTCTGACTAAATTTGAAATAAGCTACTTTTTACTTTTACTTGAGTACATTTTGAGGCAGGTAATTTTACTTGTAATTGAGTAAAATTTCATGAAAGTAATTATAATTGTACTTAAGTACAACATTTTAGTACTCTTTCCACCTCTGCCAATAACCAACTTGAAAAATAAGAGGCAGGAAGAACAGTCGACATCTTTAACAAATTCAACATGAACTACTAAGCTGGCTCCTCCTATCGTTGTAATGTTAACGTGGCTGTTCCTCTTTGTGTTATGGAACAACATGAAGAAAGTGGTCTAATACGGTCCCATCATTCTGGACCATACCTACACAAACTAATAACAGTCTATACAGTAGTTTATAGTGTGGGTTAGGGTTAGGCCCTTTACTGGAGACTGCGAAAAGAGGTGGCTAACAAGAAGTAGCCACTTAGCTTAACTCACCAGACAGTCCCAATGCTCAGAACCCCTGAGAACCATCCCAGTGCCGCTCAGAGTCGAACTACAAGAAAAGCACAACTTATTAGAAACAATATTTTTACTTTAATGGTAATTTGAAAGAGTTTTACCGTGTGTCACCATCCAAGAGCGCCTGACGACGATCACTTCCGGAGGAGGCAGCTTTAGCACGCGCTCCCCAGCTGCAAACAAGAGGAGTGCGCCCTCTGCTGGAATTAACATGCTACCACATCTGTGAGGAGTACTCTGTTCTACATGCCACATTCTAAGTTTTTAGATGTTAACAACCTTTTGCACTCTGAGCTTATATTTCTGCTCGTTTGATGTTAAACTGAAACATCTGATTGATCAGCTACCGGTTTGAGATGATTTCCTGTAACCTGAGAGTCCTGGAGTCTGTTTCTGGTCAGAGCATCGGTTGTTTAGAACCAGTCAACACCTCTTCAATAACAAGTTCACTCAGGTGTGAACGAATCTGCGGCCTGCCATCAGAGTCTCCCCAGCAGCAGGATCTTGGACGTTAGTTAGGGTTGGGTAAACATTACTGTACAGCTGGACCAAACACTAACCTGAAGCACATTTTTCTCTGTTTGATTCTGCAGCTCTGATTATCTGAAGCTGTCGAGTGGCAAAGACACGTTGAACTGAACTAAACATAAATAATTTTAGTCGGAGTGAGCTTCTGATTTCTTTCCTTCTCAGATGAGATGTTGTGGATCAGGACTACAGCTGATCTATGTGCTGTTGTGACCTTTGACTCAGCCAAGCTGCTGCCGAAAGTGGAGCTCTGAACACCTGATCAACAGTCTGAGCTCAAGGGCACTTCAGGTGGCCGATCTCAGAGCAGTGCATTGTGGGGTGTTTTTGGGATAGAGCCTTTCACCGGAGGTGGGATGAGCTTGGATTTGGGATGAAGACACAGTCTTTTTATTCCGATTCATCTGCAGGTTCAGAGAAGAAAATAAACCAGAACAAAAAGGAAGAGACTAAATTCAGGGTTTGTTTCAGCGACTTCAGATTTCTGTTAACCCTTCAGCTAGCAGGTCAGATGCTTCTGTCCCAATAAAATATGCAGGAAATGTAATTAAAAATAAATAAATACAACTCAGTTAAAGCTAAAAGAAAATCTAGAAATATACTGATCATAGCCCTTTAATGGGATCTTTTTTACAGTTTGACCTCAACTCAACGCCGTCTGAAGGATTCTCTTCATCCTCCACAAAAATACCTAGCTGTCTGAGGCTGAATCCGTCTCCTTGGGGACACTTTGATTAAAAAAGTTAAAGAAGACAAAATGTCAAAGCTGGAGGGCTCAGCCTGTCTCTCTTCATCTCTCGTTCATTCTGTTTCTCGTCTCCAATCAAAGAGTGGGAGGGGAGACAGGATGCTTTGCAGCAGTTAATAACTTGCTTTGCTGCAGATGCCTTAAATTGGTTTCCATTGACACCTGTTATCTCTCAGCAGATAGCAGCAAGGACCTCATCAGGTTGTGTGGAGCCAAACTTCTAGCTCTCATTGTTGGATCTGTGTGTTTTGTTCGTCCTGCTGATGATGTCGCCTTTCAGCCGAGAGGCTGTCACTTCCAGCTGTCCTGGATGCTGCCTTGATAAAAACCTTTAGGACCATTCTCATATTTAATTGGCTCACCACGAGGTCAAGCTTATCTGGGGTTAAATGTTCAGATATTCAGATATCTGTCATCTTTGGGTCCTTTTTTCTGTTGGAAAGGGAAGATAAGCATCCATTATTAGGTGTTTATGATGGTGGCTTTGATACATCAGGAGGAAGAAGTCCAACTCGGCTGAGTTCTGACGGGGACTCGTTTTCCTGTCCAGGAGACAGGTCCGATAAGAGAGATTTAAATCGTTTTGTCTGTTATCTGGTTTATAGGTGAGTTTTGAAGATCCATCTGAAAACTGTGGTAAGAAGCTGAAGAATAAAGTCTTTACATTTTACTGCCCAGAAGCTGGACTTCCATCTTCCAGGAGATTCGGGATGCTGGCCGAGTCTGCAGGAACACAACTAAACGTTTTCCAGATCTTCAGCTCTACAACAATCATCATCGGTGGGACAACCCTTACCTGTCCCAAAGTCCCACTTACTCACCCACCTACTAAGCTTTGGGTTAGCTTCAGGTTAGCTTGTAGCTAGTTCGACCGGGTGTCATCAGTTGATCCCAGCCTTACAGCCCCACCCTCAGCTCCACCTCTCTTCCCTTTTGTGGAATTGTCTGGGCTTGACAGAACCTGTGACACTGTCAAAATGGCCACCTAACATTTTGGCACAAAAACGTCTTATTGGAGCCTATGGAAATGAATTGTCCAGTATATATGTCAATGGTCTGCACGAGCAGACACAAAGTCTCTGACAGCCTAATCTACATGAGATAGTGGCCAAGGTCTTTCATGCACTCTGCTCATCTGAACTGCTTCACCTCTGGACAGCTCAAGACGAAGACAAAGAACTATTTTGATAAATACATAATCAACAACTTTGTTATTACCAATAATAATGTGAGCCCAATGTTCAATCTGTGAAATGACAATGTTATTACTTGATATTATAATCCTGTCATCAGTAGTATTTCACAAGTTATTATAATCCTGGACATTTGCACTAGACACTAATGACACGTAATGCTAAAGTCACACGACACATTTCCTTTTGTCTGACCCAATCAGAACCTTCGTTTCTGTTTTCTGTGGTGTTTGTATAAACCCTATTTTGCATGTCAAATTCTGATTCGCCAGTAAACCAAAACATGACAATTATAAAAACTATTCCACGCCACCTTTTCTTGAGTTCAAGCGTTCTAGAGAAGTCTGGGACAGGCCATCCGGACTTCCTCTTCAGCCAAAAAGAACCTCGACAAGCTGGATAAAATCTGTTGTAAGTTACACCTGACCGCAACGGTTCCTTCAGAATAAAAGCTGAACCTCACGACCCCTTCAGGATCTCGGAGACACCAGTGATAACCTGTCGTGATCTGGAAGCATTCCAAGACTAGTTTGGTTGGCACCGCTGCTTTTCTACCGGCTTCGGTTCCAAGGAGGGTCCAAGAGGACCTCAGCATTTTGGATCTAACGGAGGCTTCCCCTGTGGTACGTAGACCGACAGATGGCGTTTCATGTGTGTTATAAATCTCCTACTAAAGTTTAGAGAGAAACATTCACTCCCACTCTGAACTAACTGCTTCTCCGGATCCACTGGTTCTGAATAACAGTCCACACACACACACACACCATCATTCATCACGTCTCACTCCACCTTAGTTCCATCAGTACACAGAGTGTTTAAGTTAGTCTTGTTTAAATTGTGTGGAAATACATTTCTTAACTATTTTAAACCTGACTCTCTCTCTTCCCTTGGAGTTAATACGAAGTGTCACTTAATCCCTGCAATAAAAAGTTCAGATCTTCTGGTTAAAATATTCAAAGATCCATATATTTCACATTTCTATGGAATCTCACGTTTTATGGTTCATAAGTAAGATGTAAACGACCCATTCTTTACAGAAACAATATTCCAGTTATCAGACGTTAGAATAGAAGAATTGGTGTTTTCAGGACAGGAATTTCTCTCTGGTTACTTTTGCATCCTCTAATTAACGTCAAAATGTTTTAGCTTCAAGTTTAAACTCTCTGTATTATTTATGGGGCCTGCACGTTCCACTGCAGCAGCTCCTAAAGAGCTCTGTCAGCAGGTTGCAGCGCTGCCAGGAAATCAGAATCCTAATTCATCCATGGAATCTCATCCTTCTACCCATGACCACTAATTGGTTCAGCAAGAAAAAAACAAGAATAAGTGGAAAAGCGTAATCTCTCTCCACATAAAAAAAGAAAAAGGTCTTATCAGTCCCTCAGACTAAAGAGAAAAGAGGGAGAGACCGTCCTGCCTATTTTTGTCTTGGGGGGGGGGGGGGGGGGGGGTAAGAAAAGTGCTCATTGTTATCTGACTGATGTAAAGTCTATAGAAACCTGCTGCTCATCTTAGTTCTAAATGAGGAGGAATTTGGACAAATAGGGAAAGTTAGAAGCTCCAGGCTGAAAATAAAAACTTTGCTGCATCATCCATTTTCCTTCACTTATCCAGGGTCAAGTCACGGGGCAGCAGCCGAAGCAGAGAGGCCCAGATTTCCCTCTTCCCAGCCACTTGGGCCAGCTCTTCTGGGGAATCCCAGGAAACCTCACCAGGGAGGTGTCTAGGAGGCATCTTCAACTGGCTCCTCTCGATGTGGAGGAGCAGCAGGTCTACTCCGAGCCCCTCCAGATGACCAGCCTTCTCACCTTATCTCTAAGGGAGAGCCCAGCCACCCTGCAGAGAAAACTAATTTCGGCCGCTTGTATCCGTGATCTCGTTCTTTCAGTCACCATCCAAAGCTCGTGGCCAAAGGTGAGGGTAGGAATGTGGATCTACCGATAAATTGAGAGCTTCTCTTTCCAGCTCAGCTCTCGCTTCACTACGACAGATCGGTTTAACACCCACATCACTGCAGACGCAGCGCCAATCCACCTATCGAGGCAGGACCTCGTCCCTGACCTTGAGAAGGCATTCTGCTCTTTTCCGACTCGATACCATGGTCTCGGCTTTAGAGGAGCTGATTCTCATCCCAGCTGCTTCACACTCGGCTGCGAACTGCTCCAGCGAAAGCCAGACATCTCGTTCTGACAAAGCCAACAGGACCACATCATCTGCAAAAAGCAGAGACTCAATCCTTAGGCCACCAAAACCGATCCCTCACTTCCTGTTTCACTGAACACCAGAACAGCTTCAGGATGCTTTATGAAAAAAACAATCCTAATTATTTTGGTTGTCACATTTTTGCTGAGTAAAACCAAGCTGAATAAGTTAAAGATGCTATTGTTGCTACGACTCACGCGGAACAAACACGCTGCTCACCAGGAATGTTGCAGTGTGGCTCGTCAGAATAAAACATGCTTATGTTCTCTTCCCTATAAATAAAGTGACCTTGTCCTGACCTTCATGTCTGTCTCAACACGAGACAAACACATCCTCCCTTTGGTTTGGAGCTTTATTCCTCCTGTAGCAGCAGCTAATCTCAGCGCGGGAGAGTCGATCTGTGCTGCAGATGTTCTCTCACTGATTCTGCTGAGAATAAAATGAACAGAAACGAAGCTCTTCAGCATCTGAAGGCGACTTGGATAACTTCTTGTTTTCAGGTAAACAATAATAATGATAATAATAATGATAATGATAATAATAATAATAATAATAATAATAATAATAATAATAATAATAATAATAATAATAATAATAAAAGCATTTCAGGGAACTCTGTAGGAAAAATAACAAATGTTTTTTTTATTTCATGTTAATACATTCTCAGACAACACCACAGAATAGTTGCATGAGTGGCCAAATGTAAATCTCTCCCACAACGTTGGCACAGAAGCAGCAGGGCAACAGGAAATACCAAATACAAACAGTAGAAAACATACATGCTTCCTTTTTTAAACAAGTTTTTTTTAATATATACTCATCTCTTCCTCTGAGTCCCAGGGATTTTCCAGGAAAAATAAAAAAAACAATCAAAGCCATTTTCTGCAAAAAAGACAACATAAAAATATAAACAGTACATTTCAGAGCAGACATGTGGACTCAGCTGTGCTGTGAGATTTTCATGTTTTTTTTTCTGATTCAGTTTCAACATCGAACATATCAGGCATGCATCGACAACCGACGGCTGCAGTCCAAGAAATCACCAGGTAACAATTCCCGGTACAAAACACACCATCGTCATCATCGTGTGAGGGATCATGTGACCACGAACGCTTTAAAAGGGCTCTAAAAGGGCTTTTGCTTGTTTGGCTTCACAGCCCATTGATGGGTTCTGGACCACAGCGGGTGGTTCTGGCAGATCTCTGACTTTTATCAGCTGAGGAAAGTTCCTCTTGTTCCCTGAAAATGCCAAAACTTTACAGAGAAAAAAAGGTCTGAAGTACAAAGCAGGTTTGAGGTAACCAGAATATTCTGCGTACCGGTTCTGACTCTGGATCTTCCCCCAGGCAGTGCAAAGAAATCAAGCTGAACAAGCTAACGATGCTAATGTTGCTACGACTCACGCAGAACAAAACAACAGACACCAAAAGGATCAGAGTGATGCTGAGGAGACTAAACCAATCATATTCCTTTTCCTTGCTTTTTTTCCCAGTATCTCCAACATACTGGAGAGAAAGGTCTGGTCCACAGTCAAGTGTCTGGTTCTGGTCCTGGCCGTGGAACCAACCGGTCCACGTGTGTTTAGTGGATCTGGAGAAGGAGGTGCTTCAGGAGGAGCAGGTGGTTTGTTGGAGAGAGGAGCCCTGACCTGTAAAAACGAACAATGAGGCTGAGGTTCTATTTTCACTAACAGGGCTCCAAACTGGACATTAGATATCTGAACGTCACCTAGATTTGGGTCATAAAATGTTCCTTGGAGCTATAAGTTTTAGCTCCTGAAATTTCTGTAGCTGGAAAAAACAACAACTAAAGATGCAATCATAAAAAAAGTTTGAATCTTTACTAAAAGAACAGAAATTTGAGTAAAAGGATTGGGATTGTGTGGTAAGATTCTGATCAGCATCACCGCTTCATTAATCTTAATATAATCTGCTTCTTTTGGCATCAAATGTTCCCCAGCTGATAAAATAATTCAGACTAACGAGAAGTGTCTCTCAGAGATGGTTAGGATCAAAGTCTGAGGACGGTGGAGAGTTAAGTCAGAGGAAAGTGTTCTCATCTTCTCTCTCAGTAGAGTGGCGAGTCAATAAACTAAAGAAAGACGTTTCTGCTCAGATTCAGCTGCTTTTACATATTTTAATCTGAAAAAGTAAAGCCTGGAGCTTCTGAGTCTTGCAGCTGAAGCTGAAGTGAAACTCCAGCGCTGCTTCGTAGTTCAGACCTACAGATTCATCTGGAAAACCTCACAGTCCTGGAAACGGGAGCTCCGTGTTTCTCCTTGTCAGAGACCTTTGGAGTGACACATGCAGAACAGGCACACGTGGAGCTTCCTACAGTCATCTTCACCTCTGAGATCTGTCACAAACACAAACCACAGAAAGACAGACACGATGGTCGAGTGGACGACATGAAATACTGCAAACAGAAGCTTTTAATGTGAAAGATCTGACAGGATGTTAACACTGCTGGAGCGGGGGAGGGACTTCGTGGTTACTTCGCAGTTGCCATTTCCTGTTTAATTCTTGAATTGATCCCACTTCCTCCCTCAAGGACTCGCGGGACACGTAGGTCCGAAGTCAGAGTGCGAACCAAACAAAGCATGCACCACCAATAAAGACGTGGAGAGGAGCCCACCACTCGCAGTACAGAACCAGAACTTCTTACTGGAACATTTCTAGTCATTTTGCTCTAGATTCCCGACATTCCGGTGATGAAAATCTAGTTTGAGGCGGACACAGCTTCCAGATGTGGTCAAAAATGTACAAAAACATGGTGAGAAGAAGCAGAACATCACAGATGAAAGACTCGAAGCAGCAAGGTCGACTAGTCCGTTTGGAAGAGACGGGCTGCAGCTCTGACCGTCATTTGATTCATCCGTCATGTTGGTTCTGGCTGCCATCAGCTCCACGCCACCAACAAACTAACGGGTTTAGACACCTCCAGCTTGTTTGTGTCTGACAGACTCACCAGGCGGAAACACCTGAATGTCTCCGGTGGGCAATGAATCACGAGAACAAAAACTAAAACCGAAAACCGTCCTCAGGGTCTCCTCTCCTGGTCTTCTGATCCCAGCAGGCATTTCTGCAGCGACCGCTCTGATGGAGGGATGCAGTTAGATCACAACGTCGTTGTAGCTCACGTACTTCGGTTTGGCTGCTGGACCTGAGGAGGAGAAGAGAAACCAGAGATCAGCTGGTATGATGATTCAGCTGAGGTGAGGTGGACTCTTCTGCCAGTCCTTCTGACCACAACCGTTTGATGGTTAAAGCGGGATCCATAAACATCATTCCTAAAGGAAACATTTACTTTCATGAGTCTCATGACCTCGTTAAACGCCATCCGAATAATTTAAGAGATCAGAAACCAAATACTGAAAAATTTGAGGGAGCCCGAGCCCCGATTGTAGCCACAGCCACTAGGGTGTGTCGCCACAAATGTGTGTGACTGCTATCCCATAGCTATGAGAACACCAGTAGCTATAGCTATTAATTGCTGTGACAGCACCCACTGCCGGACAGACTCGTTTACGTTAAAGGTTTTACGTTAAGTTAACACTTAACTGAGAAGCATTGTATTGGCAGTTTATAAGTACAGTAGATAGAAAATGTGTTCATATTTGAAACTTTGTTCATATTAGATGTTTAATGAATGTCTTTGGTGTACTTTCAACTTGTTCCCCATCATATTATGCTAAAGTGGCTGTGCGGTGCTCTGTCCGTAGCACAGTAGCTGTGGTCATAGCACAGTGGCTATAACTACAGCTACTGTTGCTATAACGACAGCTACTGTGGCTATAACTACAGCTACTGTTGCTATAACTACAGCTTCTGTTGCTATAACGACAGCCACTGTAGCTGTAGTTAAGGTCACTGTGGCAGTGTGACAGAAACCAATCCAGCGCGACACCACGAACACCCACAAAGTGTTTCATCCTAGAAATCAGGAGAGAATGATCCACAGTATCAAATGCACCCAATAGGTCCATTAAGGAATCAGTTTCCAAAAAAATGTAATTAAAAACCCGGAGAATTGCAGATTCCGTATGTGGACTGGCTTAAAACCAGACTGGAATTTTTCCAAAATGTCATACCCATCATATATTCAGTCAACTGTGAATTAATTAATGAGAATATTAAAACAGAATCACTCTGGTGATCCAGTAGTCGCATTCCAGCTTCCCATCATTCAGCATTCAGTTCTAGAGAACGCTACGGAACGGCCGTCTGGAGCGACACCTCTTTAACCCTGAGCATTTTTGGCAAGCTGCCAAAATCCTGCTAAAAGCTGCCTACTGCTGACACAGCAAACGGTTCCTGCAGAACAAAGCTTATATCGTTCCAACTCCTTAAGAGTCCTTCTAGACGCAAACGGTTCCATCCATCTGTGGTGACCCGGGACATCTCTGGACTGAAGAGTCTGTGCTGCGGTTATTCTACAGACCCTGGTGTGCAGAGATATTCTGACCTCCCTGACCTTCGGATCCATGAAGAGGGTCTCCAAGAAAGGGTGAAGTAGACACACAGATGGCATCCGATGCCTTTTGATAAGAATCAACTCCATAGCTTAACGCAAACCAAATTCTTCCCTTTTACACCCAGAACTCAGTTCTTCTAGATACGAATGTTCTGATAACCTCACATTAACACATAGGCACCATACGCCACATTCCATCCACCTAGATCCATCCATCACAGTAAATATTAGTTAACTTGTCATGTTTTGATTGTTTGGAAAAATAAATTCTTACCTTTATAAACCCGACTCTTTCCTTGAATCAAGACGAAGTGTTTTACAATCCCTGAATAAACAAAGAATCCTAGAATCTTCTGATTAAACATCCAAAGACCAAGCAGGTTGATATTCTGTATAGAGTATCACAGCTTATTGGTCATAGGTAGAAGTAAAATATTAAGCTCTTAAAGCACTACATTTACCAACTCCTGCAATGGCTAAAAGTCAATAAAATTAGAAATAAAATCTGTGCGTGTCCATCCCTCTGTTTCCAGAAAGTTAGAATTACTAGACTTTTCTTTCTCAGTTTTTCCGATTCTAATTGGATAATCCAGATTATAATCCAGCCTTTTCTGGTTAGTGGGTGTGAAACAGCAGCAGATCTTAAACAGAACCAGACTGGTGAGGTCCTGCAGCATAACCTGATGTCAGCTGAACAGAAGAGCAATCTGGACTAGAACCGCCAGATCACACAGGTGGTTGTTATGGAAACGGAGCCCCCAGAAGGTGGATCTCATCCCTCTTTGCCCCGCTCAGCCTTTAGCCTCCCATGATAAAAGACTTGGAGCTAAAGGAACCTCATCAATCACGTCTGAAAGATCAAAGAGAAAATATTTCTGCACACTGGGGCCCAACACTGATGCTGGTGATATAGCCATTTCTTCTCAGGGAGTTGTCCAATCAGAGCTCAGCTTACCATCCATATGACCTGCAGCAGTGACACCTTTAAAAGTTCTTATCCAAAGGAAGCGGTTAACAGGTCAGATCAGATCAAACAGAAATCTGACCTTTATGACCTTTTTCTGCTACAGATCATCAGTGTAAAATGACAAAACCAACTCCATCCTTAGAGACTGCTCCAGTGGAAACAATGTTTGGTTCTAAAACTCGATGGGGCTGCATGGTGGTGCAGTTGTTAACACTGTTTCCTCGTATCAAGAAGGCTGCAGGTTCGAAACTCAGCTGCGGCCTTTCTGCGTGGAGTTGCATGCTCTCCCATTGCAGGCGTGGGCTTCCTCCGGGTTTTCCCTCAGATCACAACATGCCCTATAGGTTAGCAAATGCATGTCGCTTTGGATAAAAGGGTCTGCCAAATAAATATATAATCCTTGATTTTACCATGTAAAAGCTCAGTGAGATGTTTAATCTTATTTCCTAGAGTGACCTGGTCCAAGAAAGCAGCATAAAAAGTACAAAGAATTTTACACAAAAATAAACAAAACACCATATCCAGAAGATAAAAACAAAGAAGTACAAACATTTCTAGTTAATCAGATTCAGTGAGTAAGGCAGCTACATCCTCCCAGAGAGCCAATTTCACGGTCCTTCAAAAGTGACTTAAATTCACTCAATGAAATGATTTTTGACATTTTAATTTCCTTATTTAGGGTATTCCATGAAAAGGGAGCGGCATAATGAAAAGCTCTTTTACCCAATTCGGTTTTAGGTCTGGGGAGCGACAGTTGGAGAGATGCACTGGAGTGCAAACCATCACGGTTTTGACCATTTTGCAAATACATACACCGATAAGAGAGAGTTCGGCCAGGGAGAGACTTGTAGACAAAAGACGTCCAGGCAGTGAATCTGCGAGCATACAGAGAGGGTAAAGAGGCAGCAGTGCACAGAGAGCAATGATGAACATGTTGATCCAAGCTAGTAATAAAGCATAATGCACGATGGTAAACTGGATCCAGTTTTTCAGCCATTGCATTCATATAGACGGAATCAGCATAATCTAGTGAAGGTAAAAGGTTCCAGTGAGTAAGTGCTTCCTTGCCTTCAGAGAAAAACATAATGAATTTCTGTAAAAGAAACCTAGTTTAAGTTTTAGTATTTTAACGAGATTTCCTATGTGAAACTGAGAAGAGGTTCTGATCGACCATGACTCCCAAGCGTTTATGGGATGTAACCATTTCAAGAGGAACCCCATGAGTATTGATAATATTTGGAATATTGGGTGGGATTTTTTACCATTTGGAAATAACATGAATTTGGATTTTTCAACACTTGGTACCAGTTTTAGATTAGTTAAATGAGACTACACTACAATAAAAGCTGCCTGTAGGAATTCCAAAGTTTGAGTAGCGATGGGGGATGAACAATAAATAACAGTATCATCTGCATACAAATGAAGAGAAGCATTTGTTACATGATCACAAATATTATTGATATAAATGGTGAAAAGAAGAAGTCCAAGGATGGAGCCTTGTGGTACACGCTTCATTACCGGGAGGGAAGAAGAGAAGGAGCCGTCAACCTGAACACATTGTGTTCTAGTTGATAAATAATTAGTGAACCAATTAACAGCACAATCAGATAGACCGATGTTACAAAGTTGATTTAACAAAATGACGTGGTCCACAGAATCAAAAGCCTTTGATAGGTCAATGAATAATGCAGCACAGTACTTTTTACTGTCTACAGCAACAATTATGTCATTTACTACTTTTGTAGCAGCGGTAACAGTACTGTGCCATTTACAAAAACCTGATTGTTGCGGTGATTCTAAGAAGTATTTTATTTGTTCACATACAAGTTTTCTAGGATTTAGCTAGAACACACAGGTTAGAAAATAAACACAAAATGTTTTATTTCATTTAAACGACCTCTTGTGCCTCGACTCAGAAATGTGTCAGAAATATACAGGAAGTGAACGATCAGCAGTAAAACTGATTATTGGTGAAGCCCTGAGCTGTTTTTACTCAGTCTGGTTCTGAAACGATGGAGACAAACGGCTGTTATAATAATGTCCTCCTGCTGCACAAACAAGAGGCTACAACAGCGAGAACGACTCCTTACTGTAGGTTTTGACTGCACCGCCACAGGTTGCAGGCCCATGCTATAAAAGAGTTCAGGCAAGTCAGGTGTTCCTCCATCAGCTCAGATCAAATGCCTCTCAAGTCATCTCACATTCAATCCTGAAGTTCTGGATGTTTGGGAGGCATCCTGGAACTGCAGGCAGCAGCTTGTAGGGATTCTTCCTGAGCAGCGAGGGCTAAATGAGCTTTATGAAAGAGGCAGACGGAAACCTTTGTTGTATGAGGAATTAGCTTGTGCAGAAAAGCTGAGAGGTCTTATGGAAGGACAGTCAGACAGATTTGGCCATTGAAGAGCAGCTGAAGATGATGTCTTTGTTGTTGGGGAATCAGCTGTAGAGCTGGAGATGGAGTGAGTGCAGAGGAGAGGAGATGAAGCCATCTTAAGTGACTGAGGATGATCACAGCATGGAGGAATAGAGCCAGGCGTGATGGGTAGGGTGGGGGGAAGAAGAGAAGGCCAGGAAGACCAACCAAAATCAGAGTGAAATGAGCGCTGTCTGCAGAGGAACGGAGAATGGAGCTGGGAGTGTCTAACAGATGGCTCTGCTACTCCTTGGGGAGTCCTGACTCTGAATGGGAACCCTGGCTAGCGTCCCGCGTCCCCGCTGTGCT